GCGGAAATCTCCGCTTTAGAACAACAGTAAGGCGGGCATTTCCGCAAGGGCATGGCAGAAACATCGACGGCAAAGTAGGGCGGAACTCGGCATCAAAGGGCCCTGAACGATGGGGCGGCACTTTCCGCCCTACTCGCGAAATCGCGTAGAAAGCACGGCGGATCCGGAGTCAGGGCTGGGCGCGCCGCTGGATCATTTGTTTGGAGGCCGCGCGCAGATGGCTCGCTCGGGTCGACACTGGGCCCTCCCCCCCCCTTGCGGCTCCCGCGGCGCCGCCCCCGGCGCGCTCCGCGCGCCAGGGGGAGTGGACAGGGCGCCGAGCCGAGCAGAGCGCGTGGACCCGCAAGCTTGTCTTCATGTACGGTGGGTTCGCGTCGTGTCGACCGGTGGCGATGCCGCCGGCGGCGTTCAGCGTTGAGCGCCGCGGGCGACCCAGAATCGTTCGATGTGGAACGATTTGGACCTTTCGGAAACGCCCGATCGTTCAAGGTTGAGCGATCCCCGCGGTGTCAGGAACCAGCGCCAGGGTCGACACGGCGCGAACCTGACATAGTTGTTCCCCCAATCAGGCTCTGCACAAGGCTTCTTGTGTCTTTGTGGCAGGAACTGGTGGGCCGCGCCAGGAGCGGAGCCGGAGGCGCCACCATGGGGGTGTCCAGCACCGACCCGAGCAATCTGCACTCGGACTTCCCCGAAAGTTTGTGCCTGTGCCGCGTTCTCTTCTTCCGCCTTCCTGGTGACCCAAGCCGGCTGCAGCCTGGCCCAGGCCTTCCTCGGCTACGCGCAGGAGTGCTGCTTCGCCAGAGTGGCCTCCGTCCGGTGTGCGGCTCTCGCCGGGGGCCTGGCTGAGCCCCGCCCTGCCAGGTCGATCCTTCCGTGGGGGGACCCCTCGCTGTCTCCTCGAGGGGGCCTCTGCGGCCGCCGTTTTTGCGGGGCGGCTTGCCAACGGTGGTTCTGTCCATCCCCCGTGTCGGAAGGGCCCCAGGGGGGGGGGGAAGCAACCCTGCGCGCGCAGGCCGCTGCTGCTGCTGCTGCTGCTGCTGCTGCTGCTGCTGCACCGACACCGGCTGCCTCCTCCGAGGGAACATGATCCTGGTCTCGGGAAATTTTAGGGACCATTATGTGGCCGAGGGATTACCACCAGCCAGCACCGAAAATATCTTCCCCCTGTGGAGGCAACCACCTGGGATGGTGTTGGCGCCAATCTCCAGGCCCCCGCCTGTTCGGGCCAAGGTTTTCGCGCGACGCGAAACCTCAGTAACAGGGCAGGCCAGTGTCGCCGGAGACCTTTCAGGCGGTACGAGTGCCGCAGTTCCGAGTGATTGGGCAGGCGTATCATTCGGGTTTGCTCCGCCAGTCGGACCGCGCTTAATTCTTGACGCTTCGTGTATCCCCACCAGCCGCGCCATTTTGGCTGCGTTGGTCTCCTCGGGCCTGTCTTAGGCTCCCTGGATGTACCTTTGCACGTTCTCAGGGGTTGTTCAGCAAGCTCCCTGGATTGCATGTCGGCTTCACGGTGCTCATCTGGCTCCCTGGATGCCCTTTGCACGCCTGTTCTGGGGCCCGCAGGTCCCCTGGACTGCACGTAGGCTCTGACGCCTTAGGACGCTGCTGCCTGCCGCCCGACCGCGGCCCCGCGCGCGCCCGCCGCTAGTCGCGGCCGCAGCCCGCCCGCGACTGCCCGCCGCTGGCGCTTCCGCCTGCGGCTGTAAACAAAAAAAAGTATCCCCACCAGCCCATTTTGGCTGCGCCCCAACATCGGTTGGCTAATTTGCATGTGCTCGCTCCTGAACCTGGTTCCTGGCAGCTGCAGCCCGCACCACCTCCCGCTTCTGGTGATCCGAGGTGCCGCTTAGGCCTCTGTTTGCTGGCGCGTTAGGCAAGTAGGTTCGCGCGCGGCCCGCCCGTCCCGTTTGACGCCGCCTGCGCTTTCGCACGCGGCTGCGACAAACATGTATCCCCACCAGCCCCTCCAAAAACAATCACCAGGCGACTTGTCCTGGCCTGTTGTCGATGCCAGTTTGGAGCCGGCAGGGGGGTCTGAGCTGGTTGGGCCCCGGGACAGTCGGTCATGAGGGGGAAATGATGACAAATCCGCTTAGAATCGGCTCCGGGATTCTCCCCTGGGTGCCATCTGGTGCAATTTTTCACCCGGAACCCGTCTGTCTTCGACAGTGCCGCGGCCCGAAAACGGCCCCCGGGAACAGAAGAAGGTATTTTCTGGATTGAAATTTCCAGGTCCACAACAACAATTTAGGCCCCTCAGATGGGGTCCGAGTGGACGGGGTCGGAGGATCGTGCCGCATCGCCGATGCATCGGCGATGCGGCTCGATCTGGAACCTGATTTTCTCCGCGCCAGCGTCACCGATGCATCGCCGTTGCATCGGCGATGCGGCGCGATCTTCCGACCCCATCTTCCAATGACCCATCTGGAAGGCTTCAGACATAACCAAAACTACAAAACGGCAAACTCGGCACACGTTTTTGCAGCCGTGCTAAAAGTCGTCGCATGCTCCTACGCACGCCTAACGAACGCATGCGCCCGCCCGACACACTTAATAGGAAAAAAGGGAAACCCAGCCCTTGCCTGGGGCCACCCTTGCGTGAAGCTGGCCTCCACGCCTTCCTCATCGGGGAGGGCGCGGCCACGGCGTTGATCTTCTGACTACAGTCGAGGCTGATTGGTAGGTCGACCCTGTAAGTTTACCCTTGTATCCTGTGTTTCGCGGCCCATGCCTTCTACATTCCTGAGGCAGTGTGGCCTTCGGAAGGGTCTTGTGCCGGCGAACAAGCAATGACATAAACATAACTCGGAGGTCCGCGCGGATTTCCCGGATCGGCGCTGGACCCCCCCCCTTCCTGGCGCGCGGAGCGCGCCAAGGACGGCGCCGGAGACGCCGCCAGGGGGCTCCAGCGCCGATCCGAGAAATCTGCGCGGACCTCCGAGTTTTTGTTGCTTATGTCACTGCTTGTTTCCCTAGCCCCCTCGCATGTCCCCCTCCCATCAACCTCGACTGTACGGTCGCTCTTGCCTGGGGCCACCCCTGCGCGTAGCCGGCCTCCACGTCTTCCACCTCGGGCAGGGCGCGGCCATGGCGGTGGCCTTCTGGAGCCTGCGCCGCCTGCTGCGCCTGCCCGCGCGCGAGAAGGACGCCTGACGGCCAGCACCGGGCCGCGCCCCGGACTTGGCAGCCTGCACGAGTGGGGACTGCCCGACGAAGTCTCTCTCGCTCTCTCTCTCTCTCTCGCTCTCTCACGTTCCTTCTCTCTTTCTCCCGCTCTCTCTCTCTCTCGTTCTCTCTCTCTCTCGCTCTCGCTCTCTCTCGCTCTGTCTCTCTCTCTCTCTCGCTCTCGCTCTCTCTCTCTATCGCTCTCGCTCCTCTCTCTCTCTATCGCTCTTTCGCTCTTTATTTCTTTCTCTCTCTCTCTCTCTAGTTCTATCTTTCTGATTCCTTTTTTATGTTATGTTTTTGTTGGTGTTCTCTCTGCCCCTCTTTCTTTTCTCTCCCTCCCTCCCTCATCCCCTCTCTCTCTCTCTCGCTCTCATTTCTTGGACGTGCGCTGGACCTTCCCTCGCGCGCGGAGCGCGCCAGGGTCGGCGCCAGAGGCACCGCCAGAGGGCCCAGCGCCGATGGAAGAAATTCGCGCGGACCTCAGAAAATTCATAGTTGTGTCGTTGGTCTCCTTCGGCTTCAGCCCTGGTCGACCTCCGCTCCCAGATGCCCCCAAGACGCTCTCGGCCCCGTCTTCCGCATGGACTTCGCGCTGGTGCCTTTTGGAAACCTGCTCATCCTGAAGATCCTGTTTGACTGTACACGGGGCCTGTGGACCGCACCGCACCGTCAGCTTCAGCCCAATCTGGGCGGCCTGGAGCTTCCCGGTTCAAAATCGATCGCCGAACCCCTCCCATACGCTAGGTCCTGGCGGCCTAGAGCTTCTCGTTTCAAAATCGAGCTCTGGACCCCTCCACGACGCTTCTCCAGCTCGCCTTTCGAGCTGGATCCAGCCGCTGGGCGCGAGGGGGCTCCCAGAGGGGCGCAGCGAGGGTGCCGCAACCGGGCAAGCATGCCACGTCACCGTCGCCGCCGTCGCCGCCCTCGTCCATCGTCTTCGCCGCCGCCGTCGCCGCCGCCGTCGCCGCCGCCGCCGCCGTCGCCGCCGCCGTCGCCATCGTCCATCGGCTTCGCCGCCGCCATCGCTGCGAGCGTCGTTTTCGCCGCCGCCATCGTCGCCGCGGCCGCCACCGTCGTCGCCGCAGCCGCCGGCATCGTCGCCGCGGCCGTCGCCGCTCGACCCTCTCCCGAGCACGCGCGCGGAGGCCAGCCACGCGCAGAGGGGGTAGGGGAGGGGGAAAGACTTCTCAGAGGCACCGCTGCTTCTTAGAAGGCACGGGCCACGTCTGTAGGTGTAGGTCAGGAGCAACGATAGGGGGGGATAGGCATAGGGGGGGATGCATTGACCCCCAATTGCCCATTGATCGCCGATAGGGGTCTGATAACTCCAACCCGCCCAGGAAGGTGCGGATTCACTATCGGGGGCCTGTCGCCGATCAATCGGCGATGTATCGCCGATTCCAGGTCGAGGCATACTCCCTACGCCAGTCCCCTATCGTTGCCCCTCAGTAGGGCGGCGCTTTCTGAGAAGCAGCCTCCTAAGAAGCCTTCCCCCCTCCCCCATACTCCCTTGTGCGCGCCGCCAACCATGGGGCTCGACGTCTGTCCGACATGTGAGCGACGGAAGAAGACAGGGTCGTCTGGCGCCGACATTCGCGCGTAAGCTGCCCGCGTAAGGTCGCGAGTAAGCGCCCTCGTTACCAATGCAGCGTGCCGCGCTCCCCGCGTAAGCCACCGCACAAGGTCGCTACGTCATCTTGCTCAAGGCACGTTTCTTTTCCTCGCCCACGTGCCCGCCGCCAAAAGGGGGCTGGGCCGGAGGACCCGCGCGGTGCTGCCCGCGGCGCCCGGGGTCGGTAGGCGGCGGCCGCTCCGGCCGGGCGCCCATGCAGTCCGTCGAGGTGGAGGGCCCTGGCGGGTCCATCGTCGTCGTTTCATGCTTCTCCTCGATCCTCTTCCTTCTCCTCCTTGCCCTCTTTCCTCCTCCTCATCATCCTCCCCCTTACCCTCTTCTATCTCATCCTCATATCTCCTCATCATCATTGCTATTATTAGTATAGTATTAACATCCTCATCCTCATCCTCCTCGTCATCATCATATCACCATCAACAGTTTCATCAACATCGTCATCATCATCATCATTCAAGGGAGGAAAAGACAGCCCGACCCCGATACTTGGCGTATACTACACAGCCTTGGGCATGTATTAGACAGCTCTGCCCTGTTCGATTCCTTCCTTGGGTGCGCTTACTAAAAGGCTTCGCTTGTCGTTGTGTTCATTATGAGGGTGGATTTTATGCGTTTTAATTACCTTCCTCCTCCTCCTCCTCATCAGCATCATCAGCATCATCATTATCATCAGCAGCAGCAGGATCGGATCATCGTCATCACCATCACCATGAGCATCAGCACCAGCATCACCACGACGAATAGTATTAGCGTCAGTATCCGTCTTCTTATCAATATTATGTATGGGCATAGCAGCATATCATGAGTATGAGGATTGCCATTGCTACCAGTATTTGTATTAGTGTTATCAATCGTATCGTTATTATGATTATAAGTAAATTCATCTTCACCAGCAGCACCAGCAGCACCTTCAGCATCATCATCATAAAGAATATGATAGTTATTACTACTATCATTATTAGTAGTCTTGATATTGCTATTGTTGTCATCATCACCCATGTCTTCCTCTGTCTCCTCCTCCATCTCCTCCTCTTCCGCCTCCTCCTCCTTCTCTTCCTCCTCCTCATCCTGCTCCTCCTCTAACTCTCCCCCCCACCTCCTACTCCTCCTCATCCTTCTTCTCCTCATCCTCCTCCTCATCCTCCTCATCCTCCTCCTCATTCCTCACTCCTCCTCCTCCTCCTCCTTTGCTCCTCCTCCTCCTCCTCCTCCTCCTCCTCCTCCTTCTGCTCCTCCTCATCCTCCTCCTCCTGCTCCTGCTCCTCCTCCTCCTCCTTCTCCTCCTCCTCCTCCTCCTCCTCCTCCTCTTCCTCCTCATCCTCCCCCTCCTCCTGTCCCTCCCAACTCCTCCTCCTCCCCCTCCTCCTGTCCCTCCTAACTCCTCCACCCCCTTCTGCTCCTCCTCCAGGTCCGCCGAGCTCGAGGCCCCCGGCCGCTCCGCGTCCAGGGCGTCGGCGTCGAGCGGCGAAGCAACCCGGCGACGGGGGGCCGGGGGCGGAGGGCGGGGGGGAGGAGGAGGGGGAGGAGGAGGGGGAGGAGGAAATGATGAGGAGGAGGCGGAGGCGGAGGCGGAGGCGGAGGCGGAGGCGGAGGCGGAGGCGGAGGAGGAGGAGGAGCAGGAGGAGGAGGAGGAGGAGGAGGAGGAGCTGATGATGCTGATGATGCTGATGATGCTGACGCTGATGCTCTGATGCTCTGATGCTGATGCTGACGATGCTTATGATGATGAGGAGGATTATGCTGGTTATGATGTTGATGCCGATGATGATGACGATTATGATGATGATGAGGAGGAGGAGGAGCAGGATGCTGATGATGATGCTGATGTTGATGCTGATCCTGATGAGGATGAGGAGGATGATGATGAGGAGGAGGAGTAGGAGTAGGAGGATGAGGATGAGGATGAGGATGCTGATGATGACGATGATGACGATGATGATGATGATGATGAGGATGATGATGAGGATCATGATGATGATGGTGAGGAGGACGATGGTGGTGGTGATGGCGATGATGCTGATTATGATGATGATGATGCTGATGATGGTGGTGGTGATGATGATATTTGTAATGATGATGAGGAGGATGATGGCGATGATGGTGCTGCTGCTGATGATGATGATGACGATGATGGTGGTGGTGGTGATGATGATGCGGCTGCTCATGCTAATGATGATCATTCTGATGCTGATTCTGGTTATGCTGTTGCTGCTGCTTCTGATGATGATGATGATGCTGATCGTGCTGCTGATGCTGCTGATGATGCATTTGATGATGCATGTGATGATGATGCTGTTGATGATGATGATGCTGATGATGTTGATGATGCCTGATGCTGGTGATGGTGTTGCTGATGGCTATGCTGGTGATTGTTATGATGATGGTGATGATGATGATGCTACTGATGATTATGTGCTGATGATGATGCTGATGACGATGACGATGGTGATGCTGATGATGGTGGTGATTCGGATACTGATGCTGATGTTCATGCTGAGTTTGATGCTGCTGCTGATGCTGACGTCGGTGCCGACGATGCCGATACTTCCGATAATGATGATGAGGATGATGATGATGACGATGATGATGATGGTAATGATGATGATGATGGTGATGATGATGATGATGATGACGACGATGACAATGATGATGACGATGCTGATGATGCTGATGATGCTGATGATGATGACGACGACGATGATGATGCTGACGATGCTGATGATGCTGCTGATGATAATGCTCATGATTATGATGATGCTGATGATGCTGATGATGCTGATGCTGATGCTGCTGATGATGATGATGGTGGTGGTGATGATGATGACGATGATTATGCTGATGAGGAGGAGGAAGAGGAGGAGGAGGAGGAGGAGGAGGAGGAGGCGGAGGCGGAGGCGGAGGCGGAGGAGGAGGATGATGATGATGAGGAGGAGGAGGAGGAGGAGGAGGAGGAGGAGGAGGAGGCGCCTCTCCTGTTCCTTATGCCTCCCCTGTCCTGATCCTGGTGCCTCTCATCTTCCCCAGGAGGAGAAATGAGCAGGATTGGGGGGGGACGAAGAGGGAGACCAAGTGTGATGTTGGCTCTGACAAGTTTAGGGTGTTTCTTTCGGGGGGGCGCTCAATGCGTGCAATGGGGGTCATACAGGCTCCTTGGGGGGCGCCATACGTAGATCTGCATGATGGAGGAGGTTGAGGAGGAGTAGGATGAAGATGGGAGGAGCTACGTAGGATGAAAACTAGAGGGATGACGATGAGATGGTACTAAGGTGGAGGATGTTGGAAGCAGAAAAAGAATAGGATGGTGGAAGAAGAAGATGGAGGAGCAAAAGAGGAGGAGGAGGAGGAGGAGGAGGAGGAAGAGGAGGAAGGGGAGGAGGAGTGGGAGGGGCAGGGGCAGGGGGAGGAGGAGGAGAGAAGGAGGGGAGGAACAGGAGGAGGGAAGCGGGAGAAGGAGGAGGACGACCAGAGCAGACCCAAGATGCATCATCGATACTGCAATACACCATCCCGTCCCAGAACCTTTCCATACAAGTCTCTGCAAGCTTTGGCCGTCGCTGTCAGAAGCACCCTTCGAAAGACCATGACACCATTGGCCGGCCATTCAGGCGAGGACCCCATTTTTTCAGAATGCATCACTTTGCACCCTTCCCGCGCAGAATTGTTCAGCGAGACCCTGATTTTGAACAAGGCCCGCCCCCTTCAGTGCCGCTGTTGCACGAGCTCTCACGACTGGTCAGGAACTTCGTGGAAACCTCAAGCGAGAACCACATCTTGAGCAAGGAACCACCCTCCATCCGTGCAGCTGCAACACGTGTGGAAGTTGTTGGCCTTTTCAGAGCAGGAGTCGTAAGCGAGAGTCCCATTTTAGAACAAGGTGCCGCCCTTCATCCTTGTAACTGCTGCACGCTTTTAGGACGAATGTGCGCGGCGCTACGGCGAGAGTCTCGTTTTTTAAACGACCCCCATCCGTGCGTGTAAGAGTTGTTATTGCAAGCCTCAGGACTACAACTGGTTTTGAGACAGTCTCAGGCAAAACGCCCAGGCCGCCCTACCAACATGCCTGGGGGCGCGACAAGGAGGAGTTGTCTACACAATGTGAGCAAAAGGGATGGAGGAGGATGCTGCACCCTCCTCCCTCCTCCCCTCTCATCCTGTACCTCTCCCTCCTCATCCTTGCCCTCTTGCTCTTTCGCTCTTGTTCCCGAGACCTATAGGAGGCATCTTGATGTCTTGTAGGAGGCATTTTGGCTCTCTCGGATGCCTCCAAGCGCCCCTCTGTATGCTTCCTGAGGCCTCCTCGGACATCTTCACAACATCTCTGTGGGCTTCTCGGCATCATCGTCTCGAGCTCGTGGTGGCGCTGCACACAAGTGTGCAAACATCGAGTTAGAGCTACAAGTGTACTCTTAAGAAGCCTCGAGGGGGAGCTGTTTCTCTGCTTGCGCTGTGGGGAAGTCTCGAGCGGGAGCTCCACTCCTGAGCTCACTGTGGGGAGGTTCCGAGAGGAAGGTGAAGAGGAAGGAGCACGAGGAGAACGGCAAGTAGGAGGAATGGCAGAAATAGCGCAGCTGGTGTCCCCACCAGTCGCAAGGAGACGGCGGGTGATAGGGGGTAACGCGAGGCAGTCGGCGAGCGCAGGGACGGCGCGATTCCGAGACGCCCCCTCGTCCACCGGGCCCCCCGCGAGGGTGTCCTCCAGTCGTTCTCGAGGCTCGAGGCGGGGGTGCCGAGGCCTGAAGAAGAAGCAACGCCGCAAACATGAACGTTCGGAGGTCTGCGCCCCTCAGGCCAGTGCATTGCGGTGTACTCGGGCGTTGTGGTGCACGCAGGCAGTGTGGCGTGCGCGTGCGCTGCGGTGCGCACAGCCACCAGTAGCGTGCACAGGCGTTGCGGTGTTCACAGGCGTTATGGTGCACGGAAGCACTGTGGTGCACACATGCGCTGTGGTGCACGCGTCTGTTGTTGTGTACGCAGGCGTTGTGGTGTGCGCAAGGCTTGCGGTGCAGCAGAATCTCAGAGGAGGAGGGGCCAGACGATGAGGAGGAGGCGGTGGGGGAGGAGGAGGAGGTGGGAAGGGGAAGGGAGCCAGATAACAGCATATTAACAGCTTGCCGCAAGCGGCCCAAGATGCCCACGAGAGCCCCAGGACGACTCCAAAAGCAGGTACCCGCCTCCAAACGATACCCCCCGAAGAAACTCAAGGCCGACTTTGGGGTCGGCGGCAGAGGCGGCAGGCAGCCTCAGGATAGCACCGTGTTCTCAGCTCGGTGGCCCTGCTGTGCGCGGGGGGCCTGCGGGCTCTCGTTGTCGTTCGTTGTTGCGCCTGGCCGCACGTAGTCCGCTGGCGCAGATCTGGCGCGGCGGCGACCCCAGGTTGAGACGCGCCCCGGGGCTCTCGGGCCCCAGGATTCCCGGAAACGGACCCGCGGTGCGAAATCGGTTTCCAAGGCGTCACGGTTGCACGGATCGTTCAAGATTGATGGATCCACGCTGTGTTAGAAACCAGTTTCCAACGCGTCACGACACACACACACACACACACACACACACACACCTGCCGTACAGCCGATGCCCCACGTCCTCCTCCATTCCCCCACCTCCCGCTTCCCTTTGCTTCTCCCACCGGCCCCCACCTCTCCCCACCTTTTCCCTCGTCCTCCAGAGTTTTCCCACTTTTTCCCACGTCTTCCCGAGTCCTGCCACTTCCCACTTCCTCCCATCTCCTCCAACCTCCCCTTCCCGAGTCCTCCCAGTGTGCACAGGCGCTGTGGTACAGGCGCTGTGGTGTACACAAGCGCTGTGGTGTACACAGGTGTGTGGTGTGCACCGGCGCTGTGGTATGCACAAGCATACTGGTGCACGCAGGCACCGTTGTGTACACAGGCGCCGTTGAGCACGCTGCTGCTGGAGAGCACACAGGCGGCGTGGTGCTGTGGTGCGCGCGGCTGCTGTGGTGCACGGAGGCATTGTGGTGTACGCAGGCGGCGCTGTGGTATGCACGCGGGCATCAGGCATTGTCGTATGGCACAGGGACTGGCACGCTGGCATTGGGTTCTGTCATGTGCACAGGGACTCTGGTGCACACTGGCACTTGATGTAACCCTGGCAGGTGCACGCCGCGGCCGCCGTTACCATTGCCCCCCCGCCCCCCTTTCAGGTATCACGCATTACCCCCAATGAGTAAAATAACGATATCCAAATTGTCGCAGGAACTCAAGAATATCATTTACCGAGCCATGTCCCCCGATGGCACCGTCGACCTGCACAGCGACGCGGGGTATCGGGAGCCCGTCGGTGAGGAGGTCGGCCAGACCAACGGCAAAGGCTTTCGTGGATGCAATCTGCTGCGTCGTGGAAAGACGAGCAGGAAAGGGGAGGTCGCACACTGCGTCAACAACCTCTGCAAACCTCATCGTTTTCATGTCAGGTGCATCTACGCTGCCGAGGCATCTGCCGCCGCTCATGGTCTGGGTGCAC